ATTCAGTGGTTTAAGTTAGGAAAAGTTTATGAAAAACTGCTTTTCAAGAGCTTAAAATAATTTCATTGCTTTTAAAGGATCTCAAAATCATAGAAAGGTTTGTCAGAATGGACCTTAAAAATCATGTAGTTCCAACTCCCCTGCCACAGGCAGGAATGCCTTCTCCTGCACCAGGTTGCTGAGAGTCTCATCCATCCTGGCCTTGGACACTTCCAGGGATAGAGAGTCCACAGTCTTTCTGGAAAACCTGTTCATAAAGTGATGAAGCACTGGAACCTTATAAGAAGTAAAGAATTTCCTTCTCAGATCTAAGCTAAACCTGTCCTCCTTCAGTTTGAGGGCATCCTGCTCTGTCCTATCACTACACAGAGAAGTACGTTAAGTATTCCTAGTACAGTTAATTGCCTGAAGACTGAAACTGTAATGAGATAAAAAATGGCCACTGAAGTTTCAGCAGCAGAGGTACCTGGGCATTTAGGATTTTATATGTTTAGAAATGGATTCTGATTTCACACCTCTCAAATAATTTTAAAGTAATTAATTTGCAATATATCCAAAGTAAACATGTAGAGTAGTGCTTTCCCTGCCTCATTTTATGTCTGATGAGAGACTTTATGCTGTGAATAAATCCACTCCATCTTCATGTATGGCTTGTGTGTTCCAGTTTACTTTCATTTTATCTAATAAACCCAGTTCATATTTTGCCATTTTTTGTGTGCTGGTTTTTCCTTTCCTTTTTAGTTATCCTTCATAGTTTTGTGGTTTTTCATCTATGGCGTGAATCTTTTATTTCTTTTGTTTTTATATCTTAGTGTCCTACTATAGTTAGCAATCAGACTGTTTCCCTTGTTAAATAGAAGGAATTTATGCTATGGCTCACTGATTTGTAATCTCATGTTACCTATATTCCTTAAGAAATTCTCTTATTACATTGTCCTTTTCACCACCATGGCTGATGGGTACGGCTCTATCAGGAACTTCTTCAGATCAGTACTGGCTTATGTATTCATCTTCTGTATTTTCATATTTGAAATCAATATTCCCTTAACACTGGATTCAGTCTATTAAGTGTATAGGCATGATATGTAGATTTGGCCATTTATGGAAATGGAGACCAGGTCAAATTTTGAGTCTGAACTGCTGAATCCTAACTCATTTAAAAACACGTGATCCATGCATAGATAATGAACACAAATTCTGCTAATTTAGAAGGAATTTACATGTGTAGTATAGTGGAGGTATTTGTCAAAATTTTAAATTAAGAAAGCTGGGTTTTAGGAATGTTGAAATTATTTATTAGTTAAGACAAAAAGGCAGAGGTTGCATAAGATTATGTTCATAATTATGACAGAGTAGGGCTTTTGAAACTGTGTTATTTGTTTTGAAGTACCTTTGACATCTGGAAGATTGAATCAATGGAAATTCTTTAAGATTTTCATGTGCCTTGTGAGTCATAAAACTAACATGCAAAAGTGGGAAGAATGTTGAAGGTCAATATGCCTGTGAGAAAAGAACAAGCTGAAGGAATATTTTTCAGATTAGAAAGTATTTTCATGGACTTAAGCTACAAAAGTTAGAAAGGTCCAACTAGAAAAGTAATACCCTACATTTTGTTCTTAAACTTACTTTATTTTACTCAAACAAAAATGAGAAAGAACTTTTCAGTTCTGCTGAATGGCACAGAAAGCAGAGAGCCAAATTTAGACTTTCTCTAGTATGGAAAGACTTGAAATTTTACTTTTGTTAGAGTCTCACTGAAAGGTGTTACCATGGTCAAGATCAAGTGTTCTAAATAGTCTATAATGTCTGTGACTGTAGAACTGGAATATAATCATTTGAGATCCAGAAGAAGAAGCTGATAAGGACAAAAATGTCATGTATTTGATCATAAATTAGAAAGTGCAGTTTGAACTTCAGTACTTAGGATGATTGTCCAGTTTGAGGTACAGCAATCCTAAATAGAATAATGATATTTATCCACATTTATTTTCTATGAATCTGACTTGGGGCAGGGGAGGAAGAGGTATTTTGATTTGTTTTCAGCAGTTATGATGCCATCCTCAAGAATATTACCTTTTACTTTCCAAAACAAAGAACATAGCATAGAAACCATTAGGAATTTAACATTAGAGGTTAGATAGTATGTAGGTACTTGGAAAGCTGTCTGTGAAAAGCATCAGTAGAACAGATAGACATTTCTCAAAAATAGTATTAAAAATTTTTATCTGCATTGAGCAATCATTTTCTTACCTACATCTCTGTTATTATTGCTGTCTGCTATTGTAATGATCATTAGAATTTAAGAGGTTTTGGCATCTACCTAGGAAAAATTTAGTCATCTGTGTCTTCACACAAATCACCAACCCTTCTTCCATGTTTTGGTAACCTGTTTAAAAAGTTATAGAAATTGTGCAGTGATTAAATGAGCACATTTGCAAAACATTTGCACATTATTGAAAGTTAAATCAGAAAAAAAAAGTAAGTCATTAGAAGGAGCTTTATAGCAATTAAAAACTTTTGCTTCAACAAAGCAAAAACAAACATTTATCTTTACTTGTAAGACACTGAAGAATTTCCATGCCTCCTTAGAAGCACTAATTCTGCCTTAATGTATTCATTAAATCAAGAATAGAACAAGTATGAAAACAATTATCTGTGTGGTTTTTCACAGTTTAGATCTGTTATCTTATGACTACCCAAGAGCTGAAACTTCTGCAATGTGCCAGACTTCAAAGTCTTTGTTGTTCCTGTAAATATTTGCTCTGCATTCATTACAGTAATAAAATCATTGAAACCATGATGTTGTGATTGTTCCAAAACATTAAAAAATCAAGAAAATCCCTCCAAATAATGATACACAACATTGAATCATTTTATTTTACTGTTGTCTAAAAGGGGAAATTGATTTTTTTCTTATTTACTTATGTGGAGAGTGGTGATACCTAAAGACTTGTAGAGGCTAAGAAAAATAGGTGATAAAATGACAACATTTTTCACAGGTGTTTAGAGTATTCTTATTCAGCTAAAGGTCTGTTAAGGATTTGTGTAGATAGAGGTAATATTTCAAAATGAAGGCATAGTGATATCTGTTTTTTAATGGATCAACAAAATATTATCATATGAAAAATCCTGATATATTGTTGCCTGCTAATATATCCTGTGATTTTACTTTTTTTTAATGTTATATGTAGTTTCTCTACATCAGTGATAATTTTATAATATATGTTTTGAAGTATCTCACTTCATCTACCTGAAACTATCTTTTAGTAGTAATTGATGGCTAATTTTGTTGGGTGGAAGCCATCATTTCAGTAATTTTTATTTGATTTAATTTGAGAACTATTTGAACCATAAAGAAGTAGTGAGTGAAGCTATTCAGAAAACAAACCACAAATATTAAATTATTGATTGTGTAAAAAGTTAGACTATGCTAATGAAATTATACCATTCTTTTTTCTGTTACTTGAGACAGATGTAATTCTCTTATTTAAGCAAAATGTTTTAAAGTTCAGTGTATTTGTACAACCCCCAAAGACACAGATTGTCTCAGTTTTAATTCCTACTCTGGTAGTTTCCTGTAATTGCCTGGATGAAATGTTGCCTTCAACAACATTTGAAATGTTGGTCTTGGCAGTGGAATCAGTGGGAGTATATGACTTCTACAGGGGCTGTAACTTGGAATTTTTAGTGAGCAGTGAATCAGCCTGCTCATCAGAATCTCCTATTATGGCAATTTTCAACATTTATATTAAGGAAGAACTGTTTAAGGTGGTGTTCTTAACATCTCAAATGTTGGTCAGATTCAAATAGTCTTTACAATAAGTACTTCAATATAACTTAAACACATTTAAAAAAAAGGTTTCAAATTGAATTTAAATTATTCACATCAAAGTAAATTAATCTTGAAGTCAATTACAACTAATTTAAATTTAATTTAATTTAATAAATGTTCCACAAAATCTTGGCTGCTGCACACTCTAACCAGGTAGTTCTACCTAAAATTCTTGCTCCTACCCCATGCTTTTGTATTCTAGGACAGGTCCTTTAGGGTCTTTCTGACTCAGGATCTGTGCAGCCAAAATTTGGTGACAGAAGCTTTTAAACTTACACCAGCTTTCCAAAAATTGCATCTCTGCATCCTACCAGTGTTCTACTGTGTTTAATACATAATGTTATTCATCAGGTAAATAATTTACTGTATGTGCCCATAAAAGCAGAACAATACAGAGCTATCTAACTGTGCAATTTAACAAAATAAATTGCTCAAATTAGCCAGATCTTCCATTTTATCATATTACACAATGTAAAAAAATGTTTAGGACCAAAATCCTTCTATGCTGTGTATTGCCTGAGCGTAAGACACAAAGTCAGAGAGAAAGCAGTTTATGTTCCAATAGCTGCATGAGAATTTTAGTAGCATTACCAATAAATAACCAATATGTTAAATACAATGAAACCTACTTGTATATGTGCTAAAACAGTCAATGGATAGTAGATGGTGTTAAGGTACATGCTTTTCTTAACAAAACACATGTAAAAAGTATGTTGCTGTTACTAACAGATGGGAGGCTGACAGAAAAGTAGCACTTTGTTTTACATCCCTTGGGTTTGATTCATAGCCTCTTGGTACTGTTTTCCTCTAGCACAAGTTTGGCATTCATTGAATTCTATAGAAGAGTAAGTCTTGTTCTCACAGTGTCAAAAAAAATCAATGGCTAACTGCTGTTTCATCTTTCAAGATTAAAAAAAGTGTCCTACCACAAAATCAGGATAGAAGACAGTGTTGACTATCATGTCATTTGTTCCTCTGTATCCTTAATGGCCTTAAGATATCATTAGTGTGTATGGGTTTTAAACCTCTCTGCGTATAATGACCTAATTCTGCAAATATTACAAATGGCCAACATAAGATTGAATTGTTAATAGATTTTTAAAAATGCATGCTCAGTATTTTTCTGGTTTCTTATATATATTTACCACTTATTTTCTTTCTTTTGCAGATTGTAGCTTTGCGTGAACAAAATGCACACATTCAAAGGAAAATGGCAGCTGGGGAAGGGTCTGCTGAATCAGAGCATATTGAAGGAATGGAGCCAGGGCAAAAGGTTCATGAAAAGGTATAAAATGTTAGTGGTCATTAAATCTAACAATCCGTATGATAAATAATCAGGCTTTAGATTTTAGTAATGTGACTATTTTATGGGATGTCCATTTAGAGTTTTGTCTACCTACTGAAAACAGCATGAAAAAATGAGCTTGTTTAAATGGCAAACACAAATGGGCAGGTCCTTGCTCTTTGATAGGGTATTTAGTTAGATCCATAACTTATAATAAACTTTTCTTGGAATTTTTTGCATAGTACTGCAATTACATGTACTAAATGCTGCTGTGTAATCCTTTGTATGCTGCATACAGAAGAGCAAGGTGTAGTGGCATAGGTGTATTTGTGGAAGGCTGCATATGCAAACATTCCTGCAAAAAGAAACACTAAGGGCATAACAGAGACCTAAAAACTAGAAAAAGTAATTTTTCTCAGTGCTGCCTATAAAAAATTCTTCAAATTCTTGTCCATGCTTGTATAGAGGGAAGCTACTTTGCACTCCTTCAGAAGAAATACGTCTACACAATTCAGACCAAGTATTTGCTGCTTGATGCTGAAAGACAACAAAATGTAGAGACTGATTTAGAAAACAGGTTTTCTCCTTAGCCTTAGATTTCCACATTGATAAAAAACAAGTTGAGCATCTTCTTCTCTTGCTTCAGAATTATTAAATTAAAATTATAACATAATATAACATTTGGCAGACAGCTGAAATGAGTAGAGCTGCTGCTTGGATCTCTAATTGTGCATTTTTGTGTAATGCCATATGATGAACAGTGGCATAAATCACACTTAGAAAAAATAGCTGTCATCATTATTTATTTTATAGTCAATCCAATTTACAATGGTGCACTCACAGTGCAGGCATTAATTTTTCACATTTTGCAGTTTATGTGTATTTTCCTTTGAGTAATCTATATGGTTGAGAAACACACAGTAAACAAATACTGTTCAGCTACACTCCCCTTTCTGCAAAATCATACTCACAGACACATCTGTGAAATTTTGATAAAATTCACCGCACTCAGTTGTGCTTTTAAATACAACTACACTGTTTAGCTGAAAATCTCTGATTTCCCACTTTCTTTGCAAGCCGGGTCTTCTGTTTTGAGCCATTGGGTTCATTGCTTACCAGCAGAACTAAGTGGAAATAAGACTATCCATCCTTTAAGAAGTCTGCATATTTAAACACTAGTGAGAGGGATGAAATCCAATGTAACATATTATTATCATCATTTTTTTAATTGAACATTTCTAGAATATTATGTCCTGAAAACTTCGATGCTACCTAATAAAAGCAACGTATGTTGGTCAAGTTAAGCTGAAATAAAATTTCTGCTTACTAGATTTTGCTGCTTATGGCAATGAAATCATACTGGATAGGGAGTTAAGAGGAGACTGTACTGACACCAGATCAACCAGTGCACTCTAATTCCCATCCTCTGCACTAGCTGCTCTCTGCATTTCTACATTTACCTTGGTGGTCATCATCAATTCCTTATTATTTAGGAGAGAGAAATTTAAAAGGTAGCAAATACAGAAGCTTGCAAAGAGGCCAACTTGCACAAAGAGAAGAGTTTTAAAGGACTTTGAAAAATTGTTTCAAAGAGCACCTGACGGAGATCGCCTGCTGTGGGAATTAAGATGCAACCATTTCTGTTATCAGATATTCTCCTGCTTGCTTCCACTTATTGCCACACAGATATTCTTCACTTAATCTCTAAGGACAGTTGCCTAATTTCCCCAAAAGTGAACGCCAGGAAAGACAGAACTCCCAGTGAATAAGGTGCACATTGGGAAATCTATGGAAGCAGTTAGGGATGCTGCAACAGTGGGACTGAACAGTCAAAAATAAGATACTGTGAATAAGAAGTTTGTTTTCAAATAAACTCATTATTTCCTACTGGTATTTATTTCAGCTTCTGTAAGAACCATAAAAGTTGAATAATTCAGTAAAACCGTATTTTCAGAAATGATCACATGCAAATTAGGAAGCATTTAAGTTGCTTTGAAAAAGAGGAGATCTTCTGATGTTGTACACCTTAAATGTCCACCATTGCAGTATCCCTTTCAACTGCAATTATATTTTGTTTGTTTCTCTCTCACAAAGGAGAATTTCAATTGAGAATGTTGTGTTTGACAGCTGATTAGAGGCTGGAGACAATTCAGAGCAATTGAAGAGATCTCTAATGATCAGATTTCTGCCTGGCACAAACCAAAATGTGTGAAACAGCCTAGATAAGTAGAAGAATTTTTAAACACAGGGGCAATCCACCACTTAGAAATGACTGTGACACTTAGATTTAATGATACTGGTTTGGCATAGGTTTACACACTCTGGTTTGTGTGCTGGTTGCATGGATGATGATCATCATGCTGCTTTTGCTTGTTTAGCTGTCCTTTGGGTTTGGTCCATTGCATAGCAATGTGACTGTTACTATCAGTTTCTTTTGAATGTTTTACATGAGGCATTTGAATGGAATGGGGTGGAAAAACTCTACACTCTAGTAAAAATCATCCTCTGGTAACTTATTTATTCTTACATCTCAAACAGCATCAGCATTACTGTTTGCAGCTTTGATTTTTACTCTTGCTTTTATAAGAGTAGATGATCTGTACAATTTAGCTTGGTGGTTATTTTTACTTACTTCTTTATATTCCTATACTATAGAATTCAGATAAGTTTATTTGACCTGTGTAGCAAATTACATTTCTGTCTCTTCCCTGATGATGTGGCCTTCATGGCCAGATTTTCTCAGTTGAAAGGAGCATCTCCATCATTATAGAGCTAAAAATAATCTTTTTTCTTTTTACTTTTTTCTTTTTTTTTCCCCTGAGATCTTGGACAATTTTTTCCAAGTGAGGACCATGATGCAATGGGGATTTATTCTTTTTCATTTATTATGAACTTGCCAATACTCCTTTAAAAAAGAAGTGTCAATTAGTATTATTCACCATTTACAGAGTGTGCTAGTAAAGAGTAGATATAAGGCACAAAATTTTAGGGTTTAAGTAAACAAAACCACAAATATAAAGGGAGAATACACATACACACAAAAACCCCAATCACACAACCCAGTGCTTACAGCATAAAAATACTTGTTTCTTCTAGGAATTCTAAAAGACCAAGCTTCTGAATTTTTAGATTACTTTCAACTTCTCAATTTTCTGTTTAACTTTATGGTTACACAGAATTTAATTTAGTTCTCTGACATGGAAAGGCTTCTGCATATCGGCATCCTGTGAATCACCTGTGATTGTACTACCAAAACTAAGAGGCACAAATGAGGAGTTCTGTCACGTTAATGAGCCCTGTCTCTGCTGCAGGTTGTTCAGAAATAACCTCCATGAGATGATATTAGTTTCCTTCTCACCACTCTCTGAGGTTAAAGTCTAGCACAAAATGCATAATTGATTACTGGTGGATAGTATTTAGGACAAATACTTTGTGTCAGATTTTAGAGGGAAAATATCACACGGAGGTGCTTTTTACTATTCTTGGGACTTTCTTTTAAAAAATTGGGTTTTCATGTACATTTTACCACATATGTAGTTGAACATATAAGTTCTTCCTACAAAATAAAATGGAAAAGAACTTTACTATACAACCTGGGACAATTTTACCTTTTTTTTTTGTGAACTTCTGTAGACTGGTGTCCCTACTGGGTTTTTTTATTATTTTAACTTAGGTGTAACTCCAATTAGTTTTCCTCCAGTGTTATTTTGCTAGGTTTAATTGAAAGGGCAGTATGAATTAGATTAACAGAGACTACAATATTCCAGATTAGCCTCACTTTACAATTTCTCATGGTGTTCCTTTCACCATTGTTCCTGGATTTTTCCAGTAGCCTAGTCTGCAGCTTTTTCTTTTATTCTTCATGTAGAGAGAAGCAACAATATGGGGATTTATGGTTATTTGTACTGCTCAAATTTGCTGCCCTTCTCCCTTCTGACATTCCCATGTGAGCAGCACATTGTCTTACTGCTGAGCTTTTTTGGATCTTGAAAGAAAGGAAACCATGCTCCAGGGATGTTATTTTCCTTTTCATGCTGTTCAGTGGTAGGGAACATTTACTTTCCTTTTCCATTTCCACAAACCTTAAGAAATTAAGATTTTACTTCTCCCCTCAAATATTTCTTGTTTAATCCCTGTTATCCCCTCATTCCTGTCTCTGCAGTGTGTCACCTGTCATAGTTAGTACCACCACTGTCATCAGATTTGCTTGATGATTATTCCATCCTTTCTGTTTCTCCTCCTGTCTTCTTTAACTATATTTGAGTGACCATAAAGGCTTTCTTTATGAAGGAAGAGTATATTTAAAACCCATAATAACAACCATGTTATTTTTGTTATATCAGTTATTTATCTAGTGTGGTGATATGGTGATATAACAGGAAAAAAAGCAAAAAAAACCCAGCTTACAAAAACCCACACCAGGCATCCTCTTGCTGTTGCTCTTTCCCTCTTTGTTCCTAGGAGAGGAGGAATGCAAGTGCTGTATTGCTGGGTAGAGATGTCATTCCTCATATACCTTTGTTTGCTCTTACCTAGCCCAAGAAAAGATGTCTTAAGCTTCTCTAGAGCCTTTCAGTCCAATGCCAGCCAGATTTCTCATGTGGCTGAGAAACCTGTGGAAAGGGGCAGGAGCAGAGGCCAGAGGCCCTCCCAGTGTGTGTAGCAGGTGAGCACACACTGCAGCTGTGTGTACCTGCCCTGGCTCGAGAAGGCAGCAAAGAGGAGGGGGAAAATAGATGATGATGCCTCTTCTGCAGCATTGAGGTCTAAATAAGTAAATGTGCTAGAAACAGATGGACCAGTTGTATTGGGTAAACCAGTTGGCAAAAAACCCTCAAAGCATTGAAGCATGTGAGCTATTTGGCACATTTCTTTCTTTGAGGAAAAATAGCCATTGATCTTCTTCACTGAACTTCTAAGACAAACCTAGGGACCGTGTACATTTTATATTTTCTCTGCTAGAATGTTTTGACCAGTTAGAAAGCTTTCTTTAACATTCCTGCTTTAGAGATTTCCTAATTGTTTCAGATTGCTTCCAGTACTTTATTTTCCACCACCCCAAGTAATTTGATACCATTTCTTCCATTTTGTGGGGATTTGGGGATAGTATAGGGATATGATAGTTAGGAATGGCTATTTTGAAACTTTTTTTGAGTATGCTTTTCTGAAAAGGTTTCCTTTAGTGCTTCAGGTAATAATTAGCAGATTTGATTTCATTGTTTCAAATATTCAACTAATAGTTTATATACAAAGGATTGTAATTAATATGCAGCAACAATATTGTAATTGATTTATTAATTGTACTGTGTTACAGTTGATGCTCAGCATCAACAAAAAGATCCTTGAATACCAGGAAACAAAAAAATCAGTCAGATAAAAAAAAAAAAATCAGCCAGAGAAAGAACAAGAAAAAGGATCAAACATGGACATTATTTATAAAACTGATAATAGAGAAGATTTTGCAGTTCTGTCCTTCCAGCTTATTCCATAAGAAATTTCCCTGGAGAAGGGGAGGTTCCTGCTCCTTTCACTAATTCAGAAAATTAATTTGAATCACCATCTACAGAATGCCTTTTGCTTCTACTGGTATAGCATATTTTCACATTCTTGTTCATATCAGTTATTTCTTGAATTAATACTTAATAACTTTCTACCTGTGGTCTTTTGAAGTGCTCGCTGTATGTGATGTACCCATATAATGGATATATCCTAAAATAATAACAAGGCATGAAAGTGACAAAATACCAGTTAAAATCCCTTGTTAAATTTTAAAGTATGCTTCAAAATTCTAAATATACCAGATTTTAAACTGAGTTTTTAAAAGTTTATTTGTGTCTTTACAGAAAGCTTTCTTTTTATCCTGATCTTGCTAAGGAAAATTAAAATGTTGATGTTTTCAGTAAGTTGGAAATTTTAAATACCAACTAGCTCTATATATGAGTACAGGAAAAATGTAAAACAAGGCTGAATGATGATTAGAATCAAAGCACTTTGTGAAATAGTTCATCAAAGAATTATGAAGGAAGTTAATGTGCATGGATCAAAATACATGCACACATAATTGTCAATTACAACATTGGTTTAATGGTGAGAGACAAATTCTAACTGTGGTATCACTTGTCTTTCCAGAAATCTTGGATACTAAGCAAATTAGTAGAAAAAAAATATTTTTCAGATTTAATTTATATGTGGTTTAGTTATTCATTTTGTAAGGAAAAAAGCTTCATTAATGAAAGAATACTTCTCATGCAGTGAATGTACTCCCAGATACCAGGGGTTGCCATTTCATAATTACCAGGGCTTATGTCACATAAGGTACATGAACACATGCCATTTATTGCATTTGAGATTTGGTATTTGGCTTATTATAATCTTGCAGCATTCCTGGACTGCTCTTCGTAGAGCTGTAGGGCAAGGTCCATGCAAGATAAAATTTGATAACCTGTGAAAACTTCTAAATTTGCTGTATGAGATTATAACTGTAAAACAGATTATGATTGTCATATATAAAAAGTTTATCTTAAATGTTTAAGGTTTTCAAAGTATGACAGTTTGGCTGTCTTATCCTGTTTGAGAATTTGAGTACTATTTAGTTTGTGACTGCTGCATATTAATAGCATTTGGATTCAAGCAGACTAATTGAACACTTTCAAAATATCAAACTAAATGTAAATAAGTTCTTAATTTGCTATGGTCATCTTACCATGGTGTCCTGAAAGTAGATCAATGATGGTTCAGCAGGTAACATAAAATATCTAAAATATATTAGGTAGTATAAAGAATACAACTTTGGAACTGAGTTACTTGATGTAGTGAATTTTTAAAGTAATTTTATTCAGTTATGAACAGGGGGAAGGTGATCCTGCTCTAAGTTCATTTTATGGCTTGAGATTGAGAAAAGAATTCTGTTAAAGCCATTAAATAATGTTCTTAGAATGTGCTCAAAGATCTTTGTATAAATACATTTTGACAATAGTAATACAAAGTGCTAATGAAAGCTGGTTTCCCCTCAGACCCTGCTAGGAACTTTTCGTATATACACTGCTATACACATTACCACCTGAAGGACAATAAGCACCTCCTAGGACCAGTATTTCTGTAAGATGTTTAAATTATAGTTACAGCAAAATACTTTGCTCCTGTGCTTCATAATATAGATTTTGCCAATAAAATTGTACTTAATCAAGAAAGTTAGTGACAGTAACTTTGGTTATATTTTTTAATGTTGCAGGTCAAATAAAATGTTTATGATTTTTTTTTTGTTCTTGATGCCATTTTTATAACATGAGAGAATTAAATTTGTATGAAATCATAGGCTTAGCCTATGCTGGAAAAGGTTAATGTGAATATCTGCTGTAATGAGGCAATACCAGCAAGTCCTACTGGTGAATGCGCTTCTAACCTGAAATAATTTATTTGCAATATAAATTGTATTGCTGAGGTCATATCCCAAATGCAGCATGTGTTATGAAATCTTGATTATTTTTTTTTTTTTCTTTATAGCTATATTCATACCAAGGCTTTCAGCAGCACATCACTTACTTCAGCAGAACTTGTTTCTAATGTAAATTTAACCAGTATGTTGTCCTGACTAAAAGCCCTTTCTGGTACACTGAGTTTGTGATTTATTAATGTTGTTTCCTCTCTGCAGCATGGTATATTTTGCAAATGGCATTAATAACTTTATTAAAGTGAAAATGCTGTGTAAGTTTAGTTAAGACCAATGAAAGCAATTTGGTGATTTTTAGAAGTATTGCTGTAATCTGTACTCAAATAGTCATAACGCCAAACTAAACCATTTTATGTGTAGTATTCTGCTCTTAATGCAAGTGCTTACATCTCTCTGTGATACTACATTCCATTGTTATCAATTAAACTTCTGCTATTTTTTCATAGCTATACCTATCTTATCTACCATGAAAATGTTTTTTTTTCCTTCCTATTTACTTTGGTAATTTTAAAAATAATCTTTGCTTCAGAAATTCTTTAGCTAGAGCCCACATTAAAAGATAATTAATCAGTGTCACTTCTCCATTAACAGCGCCTATCAAATGGCTCAATAGACTCAAATGATGAAGCCAGTCAAGTTGTTGAACTTCAGGAGCTATTGGAAAAGCAAAACTATGAAATGGCACAGATGAAGGAGCGTTTGGCTGCACTGTCTTCTCGGGTGGGAGAGGTAGAGCAGGAAGCAGAGACTACGAGAAAGGAGCTCATTAAAACAGAGGAAATGAACAGTAAATATCAGAGAGACATTAGAGAGGTAAGGAATTCACCACACTCACCTCATATCTCTTGATTGTTGTTCCTGTGGTATCTCCTACAAACTGATAGAGGCCAATGGATGTGAGCAGCAAAAGTTGAGCACTGATAAAATCACTTAAACATAGGAGACAGAAGATTTAAATTCAAAAATAGTACAAGAAATGTATTCCTTTCTCTCAATAAATGAAAGTAAATTTTAATTTTCCATCTCTTTACTCCTCTTAAATTTGTAGTGTTTCTCTGTGTATCATGTCTTAGGCAGATGTTCTCAATATATGTGGATGGTTGGCTTCTAGAATCTATTTTGGTATGCATTAGTTATCTTTCTGTTACACCAGCTTTTAAGAAAAGACTGGGTGTAGTATCAGTGTCATGGTTTAATTAACAAGGTGGAGTTGCATCATAGGTTGCAACTAACTCAAAGGTCTTTTCCAGCCTGGCTGATCCTGTATAATTCTGTATCATAGCCACAAGAAATCCCAAAGAATTCTCTATAAAACTGAAGATTTACTGCTGATCATACATTACACACCCGTCTACTATAAGCATGAAAATTAAACTGGTATAAAATTACGTAGCATTTTATTTGCATGGTTCCTGATGGGGTTTTTTCTGTCGCATTAGGCAATGGCACAAAAGGAAGATATGGAAGAAAGAATAACTACACTGGAGAAGCGCTACCTCAGTGCTCAGAGAGAATCCACCTCCATACACGACATGAACGATAAGCTAGAAAATGAACTGGCAAACAAGGAAGCCATCCTGCGTCAGGTGCTCTCCTGCATTACTCAGCTGTTTCCTTCATACACAATGAAAATTAATGTCAATTTACTAGAAGAGGTTTCCATTAGGTTAATCTGTGAAGTTTTAATCAACAGATCAGTTAATCTAAAAAATTCTAAATTGTTCAGCATCTCTAAATTTCGTATCAGCTACTGCAGCTGTGAACAATAATTTCAATGTGTACATACAATGTTGGAAAATAACAGTGTTTTCTGATAGTGTCTTGCATAAGTGCACACAGTATGTGATATTCCTTAAGTAGTGGAATATCTTTGTTTTTTATGTAACAATTTTGTAATTTAATTTTCTAAAAAACAGCTTGAGCTAAAAACATTCCTTTCTGCAGAAAAAGTGAAATTTGCATACAATATATTCTAATTATTTTACAGAAGAGTAGAGTGCAAATAAAATTTTTAAAAGCTAAATTAACTGTGAATATGTTTAAAGAAAGCTTATAACATGACTGTGCAGCTTTCTCTCATGATTTTGTTTCATCACGTTCAATCACTTTGTTTCCATGGTGATTCCAAATCTGGAATGTAAACTGAATATAAAACACTGGTTTGTAATCTGAATATGATATAAACTGAAAGCAAACATGAAGTGAATATAAATTATACTGTATCATTCAAACCCAGCCTCAGTACCAGACTTCTTTTTTCTTAGCATGTCTTTAAACAATTTAAAGTGCTATATGGGAAATTAGCCTGTGTGATGTGATAATCTCTGCTTCTATAATTGTATGCAGATATATTTGCACACACATGCACATATCCCCCTGTATTGGTGTGTGTATATATGTATTTGACTACTTCTTCAGGGAAATTAAACCATCAGAACTTAAACTCTCCAGCTTTTGCCAGCTTCCTTAGACTATTTTAAGAGGTGTCTTCAATTGTCAGGGATAAAACCACCCAACGATGGAAGAAATAAGGTACTTGTATCTGAGTTCTTTTTGTTGCCAATGTAAGTCATGCTGTGCTGCAGAGCTCTGCCTAATCAAAATAACTTAGGCTTATGGTCAGACTTAAAGTTGATTTGCAGCATCGAGCTGAGAAAAACCTAGACTTTCATGCCTTTCTAAGGATTAAAAAAGAATCTAGAATCACTCATTTTTCATTTTGTCTTGTATTACCTGGATGGAGCAAGAAAGCAACAACCACTAAAAAATCTTAATTGTGTGGTGCATCTCAGTAGGTCAGAAAATGCTGCAGTTACAAAAAGCCCTCCTATTTCTCTTTAATAGTTATCACAGCTTATTCAGCTTCACCTCTGTAAAATTTAATTTAATTGTAATGAATGAAATGTAATTTTTAACTTTTCATAATATATGATTGCAATTCATTCAGAAAATTATACTTTGCAATTTATTCAGGGAACTCTATCCTTTCAGAATTGTTCTTCTTTCCCATTTTAGGTCACATGTAAATTTTTCTGTAAGAATGACTGTACTTCCATTTGGGAAATTCTCATTTTACTGGCACCAGTACTATTATTTGTCTGGGATAAATACCACATCCATCAGTGGAGCTTTTTCATCTTAATTACTGCCATTTTGCAAGTCCTTTTATTCACCTTCATGAGATGCTTAAGCCTCAAATCAGTAGTAAGACTGGCACTGTACATTGGTCCATGCTTGGGTTAATACCTCTCCAGTAACCTCTCCCACACTGAGGGATGTCTTGCCTTTTAGTGAGTTTTGCTATCATTTCACTGATACTTCAGAAAGGGAAGGAAAATCCTTAATATTGATTTTTATTTTTTATACTTGTTTATCTGTCGTTGGCTTTCAGTTGGAAGACAAAAACAGACAGCTGCAAGAGCGTCTTGAGCTGGCTGAGCAGAAGCTGCAGCAGACGATGAGGAAAGCTGAAACACTACCTGAAGTGGAGGCTGAACTGGCTCAGAGAATTGCAGCTTTGACTAAGGTACTGAGAAATAGGCTCACTTCAGAAGCCCCATTTTTAACAATGATTTGCAGCCTGATTCCTCACCTCAAGGACAAAACAAAGGTACCATCGAGCCGATTTGAAAGAAGAAAATGTTTTTTGATAAGTATGTGCACGGGAATGGTTTCAATGCCATGTTTGTAATTCTTAGCATTTTGATGACAGGAAAAGTAGCTACCTGTAAGTTAGCCTAGGCTATACTTACAAGGGAGTCGTGTATTTCTGATACAATTGAGCATTACTTACTCTAGGAGGACTCATTCTACTGTGTTAGAGTTTCTAATTTAAGGGTAGGCAGTGAGGGAGGTCCCTTTCCTACAGGTACTTAGTTCTTCTGGATGTTTTCATATACCATGTATATAAACAACACCTAGTTTTATTGCAATAAGTGCTATAAAATCAAATCCTGGTGGCAAGTGGGATCATTTGTGCAACACAAATGAAGACAACTTGCAGTACATGCTTACAAGGTTTGCTTTGAGTGATTCTTTGTATCATATAACTGCAAAGTGAAACTCTGAGTGGATTTCAAACTTTTTTTTTTTTCCTGATAACTTTATTATATGGCTGCTATCTTACAGAGAAATAAGAAGATGAAGATAAATTTATATTTTTATATTTGGCCTCTAATGCTTTCAGGTGTGCATGTAGTTAATACTATAGCTCAAGTATTATCAGCTTCATAAAGGCATATAATGAGGTTTACTCTTTGTCTCTTAAAATCAGACAAAGAAAAATGCATTTAAGAGACTCTATTATATATAATTCTGATTGATTTTTCTTTTCTCTATTGCTAAGGAATGCTTCTATTTATATGCTCATCTGTTTTTAAATTTGATGGACTTTTTGCAGTTCCTATGTTTTCCATTTTTAGTGAAGCCTTAAATGCTGAGCAGCTCATTAATAAAGTGTGATTTTTAAGTAATTTATTTAAGCAGAAGAAACAAAGAAAGGAAGGCTTTTGGGGGAATTTGTGTGGGTTATTTTTTATTGAGGCGAGATCATTATTTAGTAATCAAGGATTTGTTCTGTCACTTTAGGTATGTATGAATGGGTGTGAATGTGAAAGAAAGACTGAAAATTGGGGGAGGTGGTGGGGGGAGGAAGTCAAGAAGAATCGGCAAAAAAAGAGATACATGAAATACCAAATAATTTTCATTGGATTTTAATGAAAACTCAGGTGCACAGAAGAGCAATCCCTTGGCATTTTAACTTTTTTTTCCCAATTGTTTCTGATTCAGCAAATAATAATATATTCTAATGGCCTCAGTAGCTTAAAAATACTGTTTTCTATTTTAAGAGGATTTTTCCTGAATAAGTTCTCCAGCAATTAGCCACCAGTAAGTATTTGGCAGTCTCAAGCATGTCTTTTCTTGCAACTGCATTTTTCCTTGAACATATATTAATGACAAAAATTGTAAGAAGAAATCCCATTTCAACCATGCAGAACACTCAGGGACTTCCATGAGATACTGTTGTTATTGTGACCATAAAGCTGCAATATACATCTCCGTTTGTCTTCTTACATTATTTCATGGGATGCAGTTAGAGAGCTGTGAACAGACCTGATGCTCCACCCCATTTCACTTTGATGTACTTGATCAAAGTTTTTGCCAAGCAGGAAACTCTGAGAAATAGGTTATAATGCTGATTCTGTTATTTTCTCAGTGATTACATGAAAAATTGAAGACGTGTATTTCAGTTAAAATTGTGCTGCCTTGGAATATATGACATGAAGAATGTCATAATTTGGCTAATAGGCTAAACAGGCCTGTGGCCTATATGTCTTGTATACAATTTCTTTGAAAACTGTAGAGCTTATTAAAGTGTTGCTTTGACAGGTCTGAAGTTTAAAGTTCATTGCTTTTCATGGATCACATAAATGAGGCTGTGAACCAAGGACACTGTAATCACTTCAGCTTACTAAAGAAGTTTTAAGTTAGCTAGCTGGTGTGCTCTTACATGTGGTCAGCTATTCACTGACAACTGCAAGTCCTGCCTGAGGGGCTGAATGATGCTTAATTAATTTTGCTATGGTTGGACTTTATGCCCACATACGCGCTGTCTGTAGGACTCAAATTATCTGGCTGCAGAGCCCCTGAAGGCTGTCTGCCTGAGCTGTGTGATCACTGCAGTGTCTATGTATGCCAAGTAAAAGAGGAGCCACTAAGTCAGCTACTGTTTCTGCACTAAAAAAAAAAAAGTCAAAACTGATTCTCCTTCCTTTAGTACTATCTCAATGAAAGTGGCTTCTCTGAGATTAATGGGGTAACAACCATATAGAAGAGGTGAGTTAAGAGAACTTGCTTTACATGTATTTTTAAGTAAAGTAACATGGGTTATCTGCTTCTCTGTGGGTAGGATCTAAGACCAATTACATACATGTGGAGATAAACCAGAACAAATATGTTCTGGATTTGGCTGTGATTAATCCCCATCCCCCCATAGATTTTAAAGGTGCATGTTGGAAGTTCTGCATTCAATTTTTTTATATTCTTGCTCATAATAAATCCAGGTTGTGATTCTGCAAATGAAGGATATAAACTGTGATCCTTCTACTGTGTCAGTCTTTAAAATTAGTTGGTTTTCCTTTTTTTATGTATATAAACTAGTGATATGTCCTTCTGCTACTTTTCCATGCCAAAACTAGCTCATAAGGAGTGAACTTCCAAAAATTTGGACTATACAGTGAACTTGGATAAGTACCCATAACTTCACCTGAACCATTTGAACTTTTCTTTGGCTTTGTTTTCACTGTGTTCTGCCCATTGGGTGAGCAACTGGAGGGTTAGTCAGCCTCTGGCAGACTAACCTGGAACAGCATGATCCCATATACTGTGCTGTCCTGCCTGGCCATCATACTGGTACCTGTCTGGTCATGACAAGTAGCACAGCTGTCAGCATGAATCCCAAGATTTAGATTCCCATGACTCATTGAGCCACCTTCTTCTCACTCTCACAGTATTTCTCACTCTCACAGTATTGGTCTGTTTGCCTGCCCTGGAGAAGAGGCAGTTCCTCGTAGAAAGAGCTTCCCTCCTGTATTAACCTTTCTTTATCCTACAAAATGTTTATTTTCCTCAGAAGGGACAGACATTGGAGCATCCAGAATCTTCAGATGGTTAGTCTGTCAAGCACAGTTTCTCCTTGCATGTGTTCAAGGAGGGGTCCAGTAGGGCCAGCCAGCATCCACCTACTTCCATTCACTCACTCCCACTAGAAGTCCTTCACCCCCTGGGTGCTTGTGCAGCAGAGGTACCAAGTCACTTCTCTGATCACAAGACAGCAGTCAGCATTTTACACCATCATTCCCGTATGCAGGCCGCCAGAAATACCAGCCATGCTTTTCAGCTGCATTAGAGAAGCACTGAGATGTAGAAGAGGAAACCGTATCATAATAAACCACATTTAGCATAGTAACACCTTCAGTTAATTTTAAAGGTGATAAAAAATGACTTGAGAGTTGGAGGCAAGTGGGACATAATGCTTGTTTTGTGTCAGTGTGGGGATGTGGTTTGCTTTAAGCAGGGAAGAAGTTGCAAAACAAGTGGAAGGAGGATGTCTACCATGAAAAGTATGCAAAGAAGAAAGAAGTTTCCCTGCAAGGGGTGAATGGAGTTAATACAGAAACCTCTCTGAGAAGGAGAGAAAATATGATGTGTTAACAGAAGGAAGTTGATAAATCCTCTTTCAGGCTATAAAAAAATAAAAAAAAGAAAAAAATCTTTGAAGGGGAGGGAAGTCAAAGAAAATTTCATATTTACAACACAACCTGTCTTTGCAAAATACCCCTCTTATTTTGCTTCCCTTTTCTTGGGAGATTTTGCCCTGATAGGAGGAAGAAATGAAAGAAGCAAATTTGACAAAGCTAAGTTGAAGGAGTTTCTTATTAGATTTAGGAGATACAGAAGTTAGTGGGAAAACACAGGAGGTGAAAGAAGGTGTGACTATCTAGTGACTGAAAGGCTGGGGTTTAGAAAAAGGGGACACCTGAACCAATTCATTTTGTCACGTTGGTAACAGGTTAGATGTGAGCAAGTAGCTGATAACTTTGTGAGCTGTTGAAAACTATCACCATGATCACCTATTTTCACCTTCAACTTCATAGCTCAGTTCAATAATGCATTCTTTATTTGTGAATAATGCCCTTATTCCAAGAATAGACTAAAGCATAAGATGCCAGTAGAAAATCTGGAGAGCACAAATGTTCAGAAGTCAAGGTCTCAAAACTGGGGAAATTGCTTGTGTCATTAAAAAAGTTTAGATTTGTTCCTGCAACTCAGTGCAAAAAAAAATAAGATTCTTGCACCTATATTATACAATTGATTTCTGCATCTGAATTTGGGTTTCTTTCTTTTCAACTAAGATGCAAAAACCTAGAAAATGTGCAGTGCCATCAGTAACAGATGATGTGAAAGCAACATCTTTTTTGTGGGCGCATTAGCAGCAGAAGCATCAGCAGAGTTTTAACAGGGTTAGAGATCACACAAGCTGCTTTGGTATTCCCTCAATGCAGAGCTTTCCTGGCTGTTACTACCTTGTGCTGGCTATTCCATGGCATAGAGAGTGCAAAGTGAACATTAACACTCATGCTGGTTTTCTCGTAGGGGTCAGATATCTTTAGTTTTTGTCCATATATTTTTAATCCAGTTTAAGATGCATGATTTCCCAAATCTATTTATAACTGAATGTTCTGGCTAAATGCTTGTTGCTGAATGCCACACAATATGTCTTATTAATCCTCCTGTACAGAGTAGGAGCAAACAGGCATGCAAGTCTTACATTAAAGAAAGAATGTAGGGTAAGGCCTGCCAAGCAAGTAGTCATGTGGGCTCTACTTTACGGTTTTTAACTCAATTAATTCTTAGTAAAACAAGTTGGAAGAAATATAGATTTTCTTTGGAAATCTCAGAGTCCACAGTTGTCTGTGCTGTCTCATGTGTCCCTAATATTCTGCTACGGAAGCCTGACAAGCACCAGTATCTCAATTTCTGTCTTACGTAGGCAAGGATGGACACATTCGGTATTTTTATGGTAGGCTGCCAAGTCTCTCAAAGAGCTTATTCCTTATAATCTCTGGGTCTGACTAAGACACATGAACAACAAAAAAACGTAACTGCCATGGGTATACCAATCCTAAGTGCATGGCCTGGGGAAGTCCCTAGGGAAGGATTTGCAAATCCCATAGCTAGCAGCTGACTTGCTACAGGAGAATTTTTGTTTGGAGAGGTCTCTTTGAGACCTGGTTGGAGGCCTCCCTCGATGTAAAGGGTGATGGGAGGTGTTGAAAACCACGTTTTGGGAGTATGTTGCAGCTGGGGACACTGGTTACTGGACCTTGTCTGCAGATGGGTTTCTGCAAGTCAGAGAGGATGGGAGTATGTACGTGTTTCTGTCTGCCCTCCTAATTCTCATCCCTGCTGCAGGGGGCTGTGCCTGCAGTTGGCACATAATAATAATAACCAATATTAAAATCCCTTAGCAGCTTTAAGAGCACAGACCAGATACTAAGTCTGTGCACCTGTGCTTGCTCTCTGCCACACAAGCACTTGTGCCTAATTATTGAGTATCTTGGCTATAAAATAATTTGGTCCTTTTCGAGTAATACAGAATAACACTTTCAGAACAAATGGTACATAAAGTAAACATAAAATATTCTAATGCATTTGCAGCATTTAGAATAATGACATTTGTTTTTATTCCAAGTCGTACTGAATTTTAATAAATTTTCAAGTTTCTCTGCTCTACCAAAGAGATGTAAAGGTAGCATATACCTTGTTGAATTAGTAAAGCAGCAGGAAGTTATGAAATAACAGGTAACTGTAAGAATCTTAAGAGAACATCATGTTCTTTCAAGAATGTTGTCTAGATAAGAATTCAGATAACATTCATAATTCTGAAAATAATTTCATTCTTTCCCTTCTTCCCAAAAATTGCTAGACTTAATATCACAATTATTTGCTGCACTGAAAAGATGTACTAGACAGATTATGGCACGGTTTGGACTGAAAAACTTACATTTTAGTTTGAAAAAGTGGTATATTTTACAGCTAACTAGATAGACTGTATTTTCAAGGACAGGTTATGTCTGGCAGCACCACATTGCAGAGGATGCAAATGAGATCCCTTTGAACCTAGAGGTTTTACTTTGGTTATCTTCATTTTTTCCACTAAGTTGCAATTAAGTGTATGAAAGTGATGCCTTAAGATTTAGCTTTCATATTTTCTGTATGCACTATTTTCATAGATTCTGTACTGCACTGGTGTATAACTCTGAACTTCATACAAAGTGTTAGCAAGTTCTCTGCACTGTGTAGTTAGACAAGACAATCCTTTTCAGCCTGAGAACCAAGGCCACTTTAGGCAGCTTTAAGCCCAAAAAGTATAAACAACAGTGAATTGAGGAGGGCAGTTTGGGAGGATGGGACTTCATAACCTGAAGCTGTAATTGGACAATTAACCCAAACATGTAAATGGACCAGAATTTATAAAAGTGTGAAAACTCATGACCCGTCGTCCCTCTTGTGTGGGGCCTTGGCCAGGCTCCTGTACTGCCCAAGGTGTCTCCTTTGAAGGCCTTTTCAATAAATATTTACTTTAAGACTGTCTAGCCTCTATTCCAGGTAGCCTCTCAAGGCATCAGAAACAGTGAAGTTTAAGTAATTTGCTTTTAAGTTTTGCAGTCAGCTAATGAAGCTCATAAGGAATTTAATTTTGTAGGAAAGTGCACCCAGTAGGTTATCTCCCTCTATGAAAATTGTTTCAAAAGAGGTAGAAATACTTAAGTATTCTCAGAGCTTTGGTGATTTCAAGTCATCTCATGACCCTTGGAAATGTATTAAGAGATGGCCTTGAACCAGTGCTGCAGCCAGGACTTGAAAAGGGTAAAATTCTGTTCTCTACAGAGCAGGATAAAACTTGATCACTCTGCGGAAAGATGTCTGCTCTGCAGTCACAGGGTCTTAACTTTTCCAACCCTATCTTTCTAATTACCCAGCTGGGAGAGGAAGTAGTGCAATTAGCACTAGTGTGATGAAACTGGGTAATAAGTAAAATGGAGAGAGAAGTTCAAGATGATAGAAGTATTGTTGCTGGTCCAAGTTGTAATAAAAGACAAAACAGTTTCAGCTAATAAATAAGTTCAAGTACATCACAATATGCCTGCTTCATGATCAGAAACAAGAGCTTCACTTCTAAATGAGTTTAATTACAAAGACTTTCCTTTAAATTTTTCAAGAATATTACTTTTATGAATATACTATGAAAAGAATACTAGTTAAGCAATATTCTTATATTTATTCAAAGAAAAATGTTCTTATGTGAATGTTTTCATATAAAAAGCTGGAGTCTTTTTATAAATTACTAGATCACAGGATTGCTTTCTGTATGAACTTTTGGTCCTGACAATACTACTGAGTTTAAGTTATGGGTAATTTTAAGTTATTATGAACATCTGGCATTACTTTGATACCTATTCCTAATTAATCTGATAAATCATTACCAGATAAGCATATTTAAAATAGTCTCACAAAGATACAGCTGTAAAATTAGTATTTCTTGTGCGTATTAAAGTTCACTCATCTAAAGATGGAAGTCGGATCTCTTTTTGAGAGAGAGTAAATCTGAAAGAGTGAAACAGCATTTGACAAGCGCGAGCTCACAACTCAGTCATCAGTAACACTCTCTGTATGCCTTATGCACATCCCTGTTTCCATAGCAACAAAACCAATATAGCATTTCCCTTTTTTTAAAGGGCTTTTTTAGTTTCTGAATAATAACATAGACTTGTTCGATATGACAATAACATGAATATTCATGGTTTTTTTGGCACAGATGACCTAATTAAGGTCAGCTTCAGAAATAATAATGAATTTTTGGTTGGATTACCATTTCTATACTCAGTTATAACTTTTCATTATTATTAATGAATTTTTATTTATAGGTTCTTCTTTTATCTGATGACCTTGATCTTCCAAAGAGATCCACCAGGGTGGATCTTTTCAGGGTTTTCAAAGGGATCAAAACTATACTGTTTATTTGGATGAAAGGCCTTATATAGTGTGTTCTAAGATGGCATATGAAAGCTTGAGCCTTTTCTCTTTTGACATTAATTCTGTTTTCTAGAAAGTAGGGGATGTACCATGACATTGCATAGTGGTGTAACTGACCAATCCATTACGTAGTATTTATGCATTGTAATCATTCCTAGAAAATGGTAGAAGAATTATACAGGAATTTCTGATGTTCTGGTTTCAGTTTACCAAAATTAAAAAAAAAAAAAAAAAAAAAAAAGAAGAGAGAAAGAAACAACATTAGATTAGACAGTATCAGACAGTATCGATTTGAATTCACTCTGTAGTAATTTGTCATCAGCCAGCCATCACTAACCTTGAACTTCCATGTGTAGGTTGATAGCTTCTTTAGCATTCCATTATTTTCAGTTTCTCCACATCAACTGCATCTTATTCACCAAGTACCAGTGTAGCTTATTCCATGTAAAAATCTGTCAGTTAAAAGTATTAAATTTTCAATCACACTTTTCTTTTAAGCATTCTGTGCTGTGTTCTGTTCAGTGTCAGTGTCTTTAGTTCTGATTTTTCAATTTTGTCCCTCTCCTTTTCCTTGACTTGTTAGTCTGATCCAACCTCTTCTACCTCATCTGATGATTATCAATATGTTATGGAAGCTAAACTACAAGAAATGATCTCCATACGTAGGAAGGTAGTCCTACTGGACTTTACTTTCTATTGCTGAATAGAATCCATCTGATTTGTTTTCATTTTTTTAAACTTTTTTTTTTAATTGATAATCAACCATCGTGCAGTTCAGTGCTTCAGGAGCTTACAATTTTACGATGGCAGGTTTGTGTTCAAACCATGCACAGTCTGCATGTTACATTTGGCTGATTTCATTGCTCATAAATAAATCCAATGTTTTGCTGATGCTTGGATGTAACAGGCCTTTGTAGCTGACACATTTCAAGCAATGCTGTTCAGCTGCCTGTTTAAATAAAGTTTATTTTTGGAAAACTAAGTTTGCAGTTAGTAGTAGCTTGCTTTATGTTTTGTTTAAACTTTACTGAGATAAAAACTTCCAAAGACACCTAAATTACAGAAAGAGTCTTTCTATTTTTTTTTTACAGGCAGAAGAAAGGCATGGAAACATTGAGGAACGTATGAGACACTTAGAAGCTCAACTTGAAGAGAAGAATCAGGAACTTCAAAGAGTATGTGTATTGCAAACAGCTTCTGTACGCTTTTCATTTGCCAGTATATTGCTACATTATGTACTTCAGCAGCCAAAACTATCTAATTGTAAATGTTTTGTTTGTAGCAGTGATGGCGGCATCTTCCTACATTACTTGACCATCTTAATACAATAATTTACATCCAGTTACAGAGTTGAAAGCATTCTGCAGTTACAGAAATGGATATGCATTAATCAGTAACAGTAATTACACTTCCTGTGGAATTCTTTTAGATGGTTACAGTTACCTTTTTTTTTTTTTTGTAATTTTTCAATGATGTAAATGTGTACCGGTTAATTTTGGACCCTACCAATCTGTCTCGTCTATCCTACATTAAAGGCAAGGCAAAGAGAAAAAATGAATGAGGAGCACAACAAAAGATTATCGGATACTGTAGACAGACTTTTGACAGAATCCAATGAGCGTCTGCAACTACACTTAAAAGAGAGAATGGCAGCACTCGAAGAAAAGGTACAGTACAAACAGCAGTATAAAGTTTAGCTTAATAAAGATTTCCCATATGTTTTGCTTTTATCAGGATGGAGGCATCATGCTGATTTTGTATTACCAAATATTATCACAAATGTCATCCAGCTTACACATTCAACTCTTAATTCAAGAGCTCAAGGGTCTTCTCAGAAGTGCTGTGAATATGGCTGAATATTTTGAGTCTTGTGTTTATCAGCCAAGAGCCCAATGAAGAGCTTGGAAAGGACCAGGGCATGATGGGCTGCATGAGGCAGTGAGACAAAGTGGACAAGAACTGAGGAATGATGTTTTACATGTGTCATCATTGCAGTGTTTTAACTTGCTGATTTCACCTTGCTTCCTCTGGGAAGAGTAAAATTCTGGCACCACAAGAGAAGGATCATCTAACCTTGGAGAGGGAATGTTATTTACAGATTTTCCATGACGTGAGACAATGTGGTCCTGCAAAATTCAAAGCAAATTATCTTTGTATTTTCCCTCTTTAATCCCTCTCTCTTCTACTTATTCACCTTCTGTATGATCTGAGGGGAATCTTTCAGTGTTTTTCAGAAGGGTATTTCAGAATTCAGATGATGTACGTCTGGTTTATATCATTGGAACAAAATGTGGTATGGATAGAGAAACAGACTTACCAAAAGAAGAAATTGTGTAAGGATGAGGCAGTTGCTCAGTTGAACCAAGATGCAAAGTTTTTCCTGATCTAGAAGACACATGCTCCTAGTTAGAATTATTCTAACTAGACACATGCACATGTTAGAATTCTTGCAGCATTTAAAATTAAGTATATAATCCAACTGAAGCATTAAAGAATTTTAATTTTTAAGTCCAACATATATGAACTTTTTAAACTTGCACATGTATATAGTGATATCTGATACATTAACGTATCTCTAATTTCTTTCTTGCTTATTTGTTTCTCTTTTTATTTTTAGAATGTTTTGATTCAAGAATCTGAAAGTTTCAGGAAAAATCTAGAAGAGTCCTTACATGATAAGGTACTGTGAAATACTGTGATTTTATCTTGTTTTATCAAAATATGTAGAATTATTATTTGGAAATATGTATATGAAATATTAACTATCCAGCTATCTTGACAAATCTTCCTGACACAAATGAGAATTCCTTTAATCACCTAGATTCAATAAATAGCCTTAGAAGGTCTCTGACAGTTGTTCTGAGCTAAGTTCATGGTTGATATCTTAGCCTCAGGAAGTCAATACCAAAATTCATATTGATTTCACTGGCTCTGGTGTTTTTCTTCTATCGGTTTTAATTCAGAAAAAGTCTTGTTTAACAGAGATGTATTCATAACTGGTTGCACTTTCATAGTAAAGGATGTAAGATTTTGATTTGATGTGATTCTTCTTAACAAATGCAGTGGTATTATACTAAATATAGCTGAAAGTGACTTTTCTTCATTCCTTGCAAATTAACCCCTAATGCTGTTTAGTGAATCAGTCAAATTGATTATAAATATTTCTTCCAATCCCACATACCAGGATTTTTTTAAAGTTATTCCTGCCTTGAGTGCAGTAGGATACACAAATGTATTTGCATTCAGATTCACAGAAGTGTTTTTGCAGATACAGACTTAATATAGAATGTATTAAATCCCTGTAAAAGCAATTGTATAGAATTTTAAAAATATAGCTTCATTCTATACCAATATAAATATATGGCATCAAAAGTCAAGACCTTTGAGAAAAACAACAAAAGGGGTATCTGTTAAAAAAAAATTATTTTCATCTACATTTAGGTAACCTGAAGAGAAAGGCAGCAAATAATCAAAAGGACAACCTGTTTCGGTGCCTCACCACCCTCACCATAAAGAATTTCTTCCTGATATCTAAAACCTACCCTCTTTCATTTTAGAGCCATTATCCCTTGTCCTGTCTCTACATGTTCTGACCCCAGAGTTTCTAAGTGTCTTTCTTTGAAGGGATTATTTGTTCCACTTTGATGAAGAAACTGATGAAGCAATTTCAGATAGATGGACATAACATCAGATACTAATAATCTCGAAGTAATTGGCAAGTGTTACCAAAAGAGTTTCAGTCATCTCAGTAATTCTGTTCAATCAAGAAATATTTTTTAAATGCTCTAATAATATTTCAGTAATTATATATTAATAATTCAGTATTAATACTCACTGAAACTGGTATTATTGATAGATAATATTATTTATAGATACATTATTTGTAGATATTATTTATAGATACATGATTTATTGATATTATTTATAGATGTAGAGGATCCATATTCTTCCTAGCCTTTTGCGACTAAACATTTTAACTCTAGGAAGAGCAGTGTTATAGCTTCATCCCATGTTTGTTCTTAATTTGTTTTAAAATTCTTTGATTTCACTTTATTAGTAGATAACAATTATTTGTAGAATTTGGGAAAAGTAGTGGTAGCTGTAAACCGTGGGTGTTTTTTAGCTCCAAAAATCCAATTTTGTGGCAAATTGTCATTTTTTGCCAGCAGCACCTCATAGTAGAGTCACATCAACTCAACATGAACGAGACATATGGCTGCAGTTCGAGTCATCTAAGCAGCTCTCTCTGTCTGTGTCTCTGTCAGAAAATATGCAATCCCATAGTATCATAAAATCATGGAGGGTGGAAAAGATGATCTTGGAGCTCATTGAGTCCAACTCTTAATCTTGGTCTCTATAGGGCAAGTGGTGAGTCATGCCACTTTATAGTAGGAAAAAAATAAGAAATAAGTTTCAAGGACAAAGTTGTCCTTTCAGCACTTCCAGGCAGTGTTAAAACAGCAGAGTGCTGTACCTCCTCCTCTTGACGTGTACATCTCAATAGCAGCAGTGAGACTTAAATGAGCTTCCTTTTATTATAGTGTCACATTCAGTATATCTTTGCCTACTTGTTTAACTTTATGAGAACAACATCCCATAAAATAAATGTATTTTGTGTCACAAGTGTATCTTACTCTTCTTATTCCCAGGAAAGACTTGCTGAAGAAATTGAGAAGCTGCGGTCTGAACTGGATCAAATGAAACTGAGGGCTGGTTCTCTAATCGAACCCACCTTGTCAAGGTAATATTTTGTGACAGAAGTTTTTCACTTTAAGCTGAAATAGATGTAAATGTTAATGTCAAGCATTTACAGCGGGGATGTGTTCAAACCACACATAATTGTGGTCATTTATTTCTTTTCAAATGTTAAATCTATGCAGTTGTTATTACTGTTACTTTTCACCTTTTTATCTAGGTAAGGTTTATCAGTTTATCAGTGAGTATACAGTGAAATATTACTGAGATTATCAAAAGCCTTTTAAATTATTAAATGTTTTGAAAAGTATATGCAAATGCACAAGTTTTTTTCCCAGACCTTAAAAATAAATTAGAAACAATTCTTTTTAATGCTGAAACTGATCAGCATATTTACAATCATATTTATTCTATAAATAATATATTTTATTTTTCTTTATTAGCAAGGCATAACTCAGCTGTACTTAATGTGTAGCAAAGGACCACAGAACTTCAGCTGAATGTGAAGACATTATCCAGAGAGATCTGAAAACATCATAATCGGATATTAAATATTGTGCCTCTTTTTGATGGGAAATCCATATGGGAAGAACAGTGAGACAAATGCCATAAAAAATAAACACTAACAGCTGAAAATAATTTGTCATTCTAGAAAGTCCTTCTTGCTTAAAAGTGTCCCTTGAGATTACATTGTTGCTTTATTGATAATTGTGTGCCATGTGCTGTTTTCATAACAAGCAACATGTTAGTTTTTAAAATTTGCTGGCACACCTGCCAGACAAAGCTCATGGATCAAAACTAATCCATGGAGCACTACATTGGGAGCACTGTATTCATCTAAAATTACTCTTGTTCAAGAGGTTGTTGTTTTTTCCATCAGCTATTGTCTGCCCATTGATGTCCTCAGACATACTGCTCAGTACCTGGACATGGTTTTTCCGTCAACTTTTTATTATTTCTTAGAATAATGTTTTTGTATAGGTAGAGAAGTGTAAGTCAATGAAATTCAGAATGTGATGCTTCTAACTTTTTGAAATTTTGTTCCCTTGGGAATGTAACTACAGGCACACAACACTTTTTTTCTTGAACATGCTTGCAGGGACGGAGGCTATTGAGCTGCTGCAACAGCAGCTTTGATTCTGGAACAGCCATCCTTGCTGAACAGCAGCTTTTCTTGCTGGGTAGATGAGTATCATTAGCTTGTGCTCCCTAAAGAGGAGCTGATTAGCCCTTGTCAGAGGGCTGTTTGAAGCTGTCTAAATATCTTGGGAATTCAGCAGGTTGCACTAAGAAGTATACTTTCCCTAATGTAACCTTACCTCATGAAGCTCCCAGCTCTCTCAGGCATAGAAAGCTCTGAACATTGAATACTTCCTATTCTCAGCCTGTATTCAATTCTACATTGGCTGGAGTTTGTGCTTTCAGGAAAATGAAGCTGGTCAGCAGATGAATATCTACAGCTAGACACTGGAACCTGGACTGTTTCTTTTTTCCTGCCAACTTGCTTCACAACAACCAAATATTATTGATTATGAGACCAAAGTTCTATTGAGACAGTTACTGTACACAGAAGATAAAAAAAGTCACTGTCCTATGGGGGTTTTTGTTACATTTCATTTTTTTACTGTGATCATGCTATTCTTATCTTTTTATGTGGAGATTGCTGGTGTATTAAGAAACAGAAATTGTTCAGGTCTCTGCTTCTGTGGTTGAGTTCTCAAGTGATGCATTGACCCTTTGCTCTTCCACCTTGTTTCCACAGCCCATGGTTAGGATGTTTTTTATTGCAGCATGCAGTGAACTTTTGGTGCTGCTTTTTGACTAAGGACAAAGAGGTCAGGGACCACTGTTTGTAAACAAGAAAAGAGGTGTTGAAGTCATCCTTTATAAGCTTCACTGCAAAATTCCAAGACTTACCAGGGCTATAGGAAAAATTGGGGGTTAAAGCACTGAAAGTTTCATCAAAGAAAGATTCGTAATTCCTAAATTATGCTAAATATCACAGGTCAGTTCACTAATGTTTTCATAATGTAGACCACAGACGTACAGCAGGAAAGCTTTAATCTGTATGCTCACTCATGAACACATAACATGCTTAGAGTAACCTCAGGCATATTTATGAATATACAGGATAATACATTCAGCTGCCAGCTCTGATTATCCTGAAATGTGCTTTTTCTTGTTAAAGTTTTGGATGACAAGCTTTTCTATGCATAGCTTTCATTTAAAAAAATTAGAGATTTTATTATTTGTTTCTCCTTTATTTTCTCATGCAATTATTTCAATTTTAAATTACATTTTGTGATGCGGTTTTCTCATTTATCATGTGATACATGAATGTTCATTTGAAAAAAGAAATCTGTTGCTATACTGAAAGTCATTGGATTTTTGTTGTTATTCCTATTGCTCTCTTAGTCCACTTATGTAATTCTGTTTATAGACCTCATCTGGACACATCAACAGAGCTGAGGTACTCAGTGGGCTCACTAGTTGATAGCCAGTCTGACTATCGGTCAACTAAAGTGATAAGGCGACCTAGAAGAGGCCGGATGGGAGTACGCAGAGATGAACCAAAGGTTAATCCCCAATTTCTTTTCACATATTCCCTGATAAGATAATGTATTTGAGGCTTTTAAGCTTACGGTTTGTGGAGTTTTCTTCCAGAAAGAAAACAACAAGAGAAAAAAACAACCCACCAAACAAGAAAACCCGACTCAGAGAGCAGAGCTTTTTCTATATCTGCTAAGAGAACTTTTGTACGAAATGACAGCAGAGAATGTTGAAGTTTAGGCATCAAAGTTCAAACATACTTGATTATTTGTCTTTCCAGAGTGTCTCATTGTGTAAATTTTCCTTGTAGTAATTGTATACCTAAATTGCAATTATGTGAAAATACTTTTTGCTATTTGCTGTAATGTTGGGAGCATTAATGGAGCACTAATAATTGAATACATATGTTGAAGTGTTCGTTGCTTTCCTTTCCCAGTTTTTTTAAAGCTTGACTTTGCAGTTTTCTCTGACATAAGCCATATATGTCCTAATTCCTGCTCAGGTAAAATCACTTGGTGATCATGAGTGGAATAGGACGCAGCAGATGGGTGTTCTGAGCAGTCATCCGTTTGAGAGCGACACGGAGATGTCGGACATCGATGATGATGATAGAGAAACCCTGTTCAGCTCCATGGACCTGCTGTCACCAAGCGGCCATTCCGATGCCCAGACTCTGGCCATGATGCTTCAGGAGCAGCTAGATGCAATCAATAAAGAAATCAGGTATGTAGCCTGAACCAGCTGCGATGCACTTATGGTTACAGCTTCAAGCTTCCTTTAGTCCTTGAGTTCAGGTACCATTTGTGGCACTTAGGAAACAACTTCTTCATTTAGAGGATTGATAATGTGTCTGCTTTCCTGAAGAGAGTATTGGTTGTGTGAAGACATCAACTGAGTCTTTCTTTCTTAACCATAGAAATTTCTTTCAAAAAACCTTCCAAGTGAAGAACTGTTGGCCAGTTGAAGAGAAGTTAGAGGAGGCTAACATATGGAAGATTTCACAGATTACTGTTCACAGTCCTCTTTTCAAGGTCTTTTTCACTGTTATGCATGACTCCACTTTCTCAGTAACAATCTCCTATCAGAAATATTTTATTTCAGTGCTCTTCATGCTTTCTTCTGGCAATTATCCCTATGTTAAATCTAACATAAGCCACATTTTCTAAGACATGGTTTTGATTTTCTCTGTAGACAGAGAATATGATTTTTCATGCTCCAAGTTGGATTATAGTGCTTGGAAATAGGTAATGAATTAATAGGTAATGAATATAAGATTTTATAATATCTGTGCTAATTTAATGGAGAGGTACAGAATCAAATGATGTGTTTTAATTAAGGGATTGTTATAAACAAAGCCATATTTTATGCTTAAAGCATTCTTACATATTTTTCAGAAAGGGCAACTTTAGAAAAAGTAGCTGTGTGAAAAACATCCTCTCATTAGCGACTGTTTTCCTAGAAGGAGATGAAGGAAATGTTAGTAAATGTGTTAGGGACTTTCTGGTAATACTAGAAACAGAAATACTGTGGTTAGAAATATAATCAAAACAAGAATCATTCTCTGATCAAGGTAACTATAAAGGGAGAACTCTTTTGGAATATATTGAATTTGAGTAATTTTTCTGTTCAGGGAGAAACCTTTTATGATACATCTAGAACTTTACATTATTTGCTGTCCCAGAATGTGTTTGTTCAGATAAGATGACACGGTTTTTTCAAACCTTTTCCTACCCCTGTCAAGATACAGAGTCAAAGAGATATTTTGGTGTTGGGAAGGTACATCTCCTTAAAACAGTGTATATTAAAGAAAGAACCGTATCTATATTTTCTGTTATGTCAAAGTCAGCACCGTGGCCAGTACAGGAAGCTGTAGATGCAACATTTATATTTGTTTTTAAACAATACTAGTCTTTTGTCCACTTAACAAGTGATACAGTAAAGGGATTTAACAAGGAGCAGTACTTGCAGGTGACATATTGGGATATTATTTGTGCCACCCTGAATCAGATCACTGTTATACTCAACCCAGGGCCTTTACTCAGGTACAGTTTTACCTCTAAAGGGAAGCAAGGGTGCACTTTTTATACAAAAAAAATTTATTTTACTGGGGGTAGTTTATTTCCTCAACTGCTAATCTTGTACTGAAGTATAGGCTTTTATTATCATAGCAACTATTAATAAAGGATCAGGCATGTAATTTTGTAAGTTTTTTTATACAGCTAAGGAAAATCATTCTACAAGGAAAGTCTTATGAACCATTCTGCATTTCATGTTTTCTTGGTTTGTTTGTTTTTGTTTTTAATTTACAAACACTATAAGGGTTTATAATTTTTTTTGAGATATCAAAAGAGATTAAATTGTGTTTTGCCTTAGATTTGTTTTATTATACAACATGACTCAGGATTTAGATTAGTAAAATGAAAAACATTGTTATAATTCTCTTTCAAAATATTAATGGCCTTTAAGTTTCTTCCCTGCATTATTTAAAAAAATGGTAGATGTTTTATACAAATTCTGAAATGGATGTTAGGAAAGAAGATTTACCACTGCACAGGAGTTTTTAGGTTTCTACTTTCAATATATTATGGTTTTATGTATTGTACTTGCTTAGTTTCACTCAGAAAAGTCTGGTTCACAGTTTCAGCCTCCCCAGACTTCATATTCTCTCATTTCACATTGATCCCTGATAATTTTTCCTCCTTTTTGCAAAAAAAAGACTTTTCCTAGCAAGGGTTTATGGGCAAAGGACTTATAAAGAAATATTTTACTTTAAAGACATTTTTCCATTCGAGGTGCAATCACAATTGAAAAACAACCAAAGAACCCAATGGAAGCATCCTGTTGAGGTGATAGATGCTTAAGAAGCTTATATTGCTTGCTAACAAGAAAGCAATTTTAATGAAATTCACTTAAAAAGCCAGGGCTTTAGAAACAGCTATCATTTTTTGATCAAATTATAGGGGTAAAACAATTTGTCTTGCACATTCTCTTGTTTTATTAATATGGATTATTTTAGCAATTCCCTTCTTAAAGGCCCAATTTCATTTGACTCTTAACTTTGTGATTTAGCAAAAGATAATCAGATGAAGCCAACGTAAGCTTGGAATTAGTTGTCTATGGTAAATCGGATTGTTAAGCCCCCTGCTCAATTCTAGCTCCTTTGCAAAAGACCCAATATTCCTGAAATGTCATACATCAAGTCTTGCTGTTGATCACATTCTTCAAACAGGTTTTGAGGATGGAGGAGTTGAGAGAAATAATTTGATAACGGGTAATTAGGAAAATAATATTGGAAAAGGGTATTTTTTAGTTATCTGTGATACTCATCTTTGCTCTTATTTTCAAATCTCATTTGAAATGAACTGGCTTCTAGTTTTGCTCTGGGATTATGAAGAGACAAATACAACAAGAGTATTCTTCTTTTATTCAATAAGGCTAATCCAAGAAGAGAAAGAGTCAACAGAATTGCGTGCTGAAGAGATAGAGAACAGAGTGGCCAGTGTGAGTCTGGAAGGCTTAAATCTAGCCAGAGTCCACCAAGGCACCTCCATTACTGGCTCAGTGACAGCATCATCACTTGCAAGCTCATCTCCTCCCAGTGGACACTCGACTCCGAAACTCACCCCTCGCAGTCCAGCCAGGGAGATGGACAGAATGGGGGTTATGACGCTGGTAAGAAACCTTACGATGACAGTATTTGATGTGATATTTCTTGTATTAAGTACTTAATCTTTTCACTGTATGACTGGCTCATCTCTCTAATTCTTTATTCACATATTCATCATCCGTACAGACAGGAAATTCTCTAGAATTTGGACATTTGTTATCTTTGGGGTTTGTTATAGTAGTTTTGAGCATTGCATGATTCACTAGAGGCATAGTGATGGGATTACTGAGGGTCTTGAGCCCATAGAGTACGGAACTAATAAGAAACAGTAATTAAAATTACTTGTATGTAAATTACTTGTATGAATTACTTGTATGTAAAAAATGTTTACTAATGGAAAGTTCTTAAGTGGTACAGTTATTACACAATAGTCTGTGGAACTATTGATGAGTTTAAACTTCCAGGAAATGTCTAGAAAACATGAAGACGTTTCACCACTTCTTATATGTGATCATTTGGATATACTTTTATATTTGGTACACTCTTTTACACTTGCAGCAGTTTTTATGCATTCTTCATTTCATATGTCATGCACAATGAAATAAGCTCTTGGTTTCCATTAATTCATTTAACTGATATATTTCAATATTACAGGTGGTTCACACATAGAGATCAAGCCACCATGAAATTACTGTGCAAATAATTTCTAAGTTTGAGAACACATTCAAGCATGTCTGGTTTGATTTGGAAAGGGATTTACAAGGAATTTAATTTTGATCCTAGACAAAAAGAAACAGTACATCTGTCAAATATCAGAAGATAGTAAGCATATACTATATACATCTATATTTAAGATGTACAGCTCTGATACTAATCTGAGTACAGATGCAGGGTTCAGTGTGAGCTAGCCAGTTTGGGGCTGGGGTGAATTAATCCCTTTAAGTACTAGGAGAGAATCAAATCAGCCCACTCTGCTGATCTCATACAGGGAATAGAATAGGGTATGCATAACCCCATTTTTTGTTTGCTTTTTCTCTGATAATCATAATATCACCAATATCCCCTTGTGGTCCATTCCTGGGAAGCAGCAGCAGCACAGATTCCCTGCAGAGCCCTTCCTAACAGAAAAGTTTGCTAAGAGCAGCTGGAAATGAAGCCTGGCTGTTCATTCTTCTCAGCTGGGAATAAGGGGTTTTGTTGGTAATCGTTGTCAAGTATTCCCTTTTCCTGGGAACTGACAGCTACTCATACCCCCCTCTGCTCCTCCCAGTTTAGTATGGTGTTTGCTGCTGCCTTGGGATCTGAGGTCAACAGGGAGGAGGTCCAAGCAGGCAGTCATAACTTATTCTTTGCTGCCCCAGTTCCCACACCTGAACAGCAGAAATGAAAATATTGGTTGCATAGGTCATTGTAGAGGAGGGGAGTGTGCAGGCTGCTGTGCTGCCAGCCACTTCACGGAATCAGCACCTTCCCAAAAGCACAGTCTGGTCCCTGTTTGCAGCCGTTCAAAGTACGCAGTCTGGCTGTGGGTAAATGGCAGTGGTTGAACTGCCCCGCCACCAGACACCTGCACTGCCTGGTGGCCTGGATTTGAAAACTGTAGCTTTGGGTCATGAGGTTCATCAGATTCAAATACAAAATGACAGCATAGCCTCTGCAATTCAGGTTGCTGTAGTCTCACTGGCATCCAGCTGTAACTGTGCTAAAACTCAGGTGGATTTGTCTGTCTGACTTGCAGTTGAACTCTTGACTTACCATAAGCAGTAGAAGCATCCCCCCACGGTGTCCTCAGCAGCACAGCCCACAGCTTTGCTCATCTCCATCAACCATTTCAGGACATTTCTGCCCTGCACTGTTTCAGCAGGAGCTCAGTGTTGAATATCACTTCCTTGCTATCTGGGAACAGATGCAAGTCTGTCAGACATTCTCTAAGTGAAGCTTTGAGTTGGGAAGGGTTTTGTAGAAGCCTGGTTTCTAGAGCTCAAATTGCCAAGTGACCTTGTATTGGTTGGCTGGAGGAGCGGGACTGTGTGAGTTTCCAAAGCCTGGGTGCTGGAGTAAATCAATTCTACAGAGTATCTTCAGCTTTCCTTAAATGAATGAGACATCTACCAAAAATAAAAATGCAAAGGGAGTTGAACAACTCCCATTCTAGCAGTCTTCTACTGCCAAGTAACACTGCAGAAGTTGGGTGAATATGTATTCATTTCCTGAAAATACCAGTCATTTTTTCAGGCATGGTATTTGGTGATGACATTTTTTGGTTTTACTTGGTGGGACACCACTATATTTGTAATATTTGATAAGACTTTAAAAAAAATCTCTGTTGGGGATAACCCAAGTACCTATATAAAAACTCAAAAATAGTAAGTGCTACTACAGGCTTGAAATGTCCAATTCTTTGCTAAGTTTATGAAATTGAAAGAGAGTGTTTCTTTAGGAAAAACACCCCCAAACCTACTTTCCCAGAATGATGTATTTTTCAGGGGTTATCATATATTATTGCATCAAGTATATAATTAGTATATAATATAGAAAGTATTAATCTTTGCTTCCCACTTCATGAATGTGCAAACAACAAATGTGAGACTTTTTTATGTTTCAATAATATTTATTAATCATTATTTTTTTGTTGTTGCCTCTTTCATTATCAATCTAAGCCAAGCGACCTAAGGAAGCATCGGAGAAAGGTAAGATACTGGGGGTGTTTTAAAGTTTGGGAAAGCACATTTATTTTATTCCCCTGCTATTTAGATAACTGGATCCCTTGCCAGCAACTACATCCCCTCTCCTTTTCATTCAATGCCTGAACATAATAATTTTAATCCTACCTGGAAAAGCTTCCAGGGGCCACAGTTAAGCCACAGAATCAAGGCCCACCAGTGACAACTTGGAGTAACAGTCTCACAGCTCAAACTTAAAGGAATACTTATTTTTAAGGAGGTATGGACACAAAATAATTACCTTCAAATGTATTTTGGCCACTTTCTTTCTGGAGGAACTACAAACAGATTCCTTGAAATCTTCTGGAGAAGTATTAAGTTGTTTACAGAACTGGTACTGATGATGAGATTCCATGTCAGAATGGTATTTAAGATAAATCATTATGTGCACTGACAAAATTCCATTTTGTCCATGCCTATTGTCAAGCATACTGACTATTCTGGTAACACAATGTGAAGAAAGTGGTTGTGTTTATGCCTGTATTCCCCTGCTCCCTTACATCCTTGAGAAATTTAGTTAACCTGAATAATCCTGTTTAGTGCAAGGGACCCACACCTGAGACTACCTTCATGTTTAGACCTTCATTGTGTCAACCTGTTCAGCATAAAGGGAATTAGCTTCTTCTACAAGCATAATCTCATTACTTTCAAATATGTGCTTTAAGCTGCCTTATTTAGGCAATTGTTTTTCCCAACAGCATATTTAAAAAAAAAAAAAAAGAACCCTTACAATTTGCTCAAAAAATTGCTCGATACTTTACATGCTTCAGTCCACTTGATTTCATGCAGCATGTGTTAAAACGTTCTTGAAAAGCTAATAGGCTCTCATTGGAGTCTCTCTCCCCCAGATTGCAGTAGTTGAGGAAGATGGGCGTGAAGATAAAGCCACAATCAAATGTGAAACTTCTCCTCCTCCAACACCCAGAGCTATCAGGATGACTCATACCCTTCCTTCTTCATACCACAATGATGCCAGAAGGTAAGATGGTTGCACCGTGGATCGGTACTTCACAGTATACCACGTATTATTATTTTCAAATCACGTTGTTTAAATATTACAAAATGACCTGATTTCTTCTCTGTTTCTCATGTCATGAGAGAAAAAAAACCTTACCCCTTGTCTGTTGCGTGACCCTGAAAATGTTCATCAGTGATAAAGTACATGCTGGGTATTTCTATTTTGAGGTACAGTATTGATGGCTATTGCAAGCAACCATGCTACAAATCCTAGAAATAAAATCAGAATGCTGACTACTGTATTTTTCACAAATTGCTCTTAGCAAAGTTAAAATATTTATTTTCAGCCTTGCCTGACAGAGGAAGTGTGCTCTTCTGTTGCTCTATATGTTGCCAAATAATTTTAAGATGTGATTGTTCCACTTGTTGGGAGATCATTACTAAATGATAACCAATTAATTTATTTGCAGAGCTGCTCAGAAGAAAATAAAAATGTTGACATGTTATCTATTCTATTTCTTTATATCATTTTGCAGTAGTTTGCCTGCTTCACTGGAGCCAGAAAGCATTGGTCTTGGCAGTGTCAGCAGCAGTCAGGACTCCCTGCACAAAGCTCCCAAAAAGAAAGGAATCAAGTCTTCAATAGGACGATTGTTTGGTAAAAAAGAGAAGGCTCGACTTGGACAGCTCAGTAAGGAATTAGTGGTAACAAGATAAAGTCACCATTTCACTGCCATTTTTCCATGTTTAATTTTTCTCTTTTTTTTTCAGTTTCCAATTCGCTCATTTTTCTGTTTTGTCTGGCACAACTTTCCCATTAGATTTAATTGTTATCAGCAGTTATATTTGTCGAGAGCTTTCAGTGACTGTAATGTAAATGAAAGGAGAGTTCTGGCACAAATTACTGGAGTCATCTTCACTGAACCTGGTGCTTCAATAGTCTATTGAATTAGGGTAGAAATTATAACACTGTATTCTTGAATAACCACATAAAGAGGAGAAGTTAATAAGCAACAAATGGCTTTAAGTGGTGTACCTTTGTGATACAGGAGGTCCTTGCAACTAAGCGTAGCTGCTTTTCAGATTTCAGTGTGTCAATAGATGCACTCTAGTGCCTATAGCGGAATGTCCTCAGGATAACTCTTTAGTTATTCTGCTCAGAGCAGTGCTTATCTTTCTTCCTACTCCTGCCCTTTTCACTTGCCAAGACTATTTCATTCTATTCCATTCATGGCAAAAAATTTCAACTGCCTATTTCTGTAGGATATGTCTATACGGACACATGCCAACACAAGTATCAAATTGGAATAAATGTGTCAATAAAATTGAAATACTGTCTCTTTCCTAGTCATGCAGATGTCACATAATACAGATTTGTGAGGCACTAAATTTTACTGCTTGATGACCATGTAACACTTGCAAAAGAATTTTAAGGCCTTGCAGTAATTGTAAACACTTAAGCAGCAAGGATAAGCCTGAAATTAAAACCCTACATGTATTGTATTGCAGTGTGTCCTTATCACAACTAACAAAACCATTGCTAAAGTAGTACAGAATTTATAAAAAGGTAGTACTAGGTTTCTCCTCTCTGCCTCTGAAAAACATGTATTCTTGAAAAAAAACAACCAAAAAACCTAATTTCAATTTGTAATCTGAATTCCCTTTTTTCCCTCACTATAGAATGAAGTGTTTTATTCAATCTTTTAAATGAGAATCTATAAACAAGTCTTTCAAATACACCTGTATGCCACCATCTGCATTGATGGATAATTTTATAACTTTAGACTACATCTAAAGTTAGACTTTATTAATTCAGATTTACATTCCAGATAGCCCTTTTTTTTATATACTAATGGTTTATACATAATAATCTACAATTTATCAGTAAGTCAGGAACACAGAGGACAAAGATGCAATAAATGTGTTGGTCTTCCCTCCAGCTATTTGAAATGTGGAACAAAAATGAAATAACAGCTTCAAAGACTATCTGAGTAGCAATGATTGGGCAATAGGTTAATTCGTAATACCCACCATGATTAATAATACATACATGGAATTTGATAAAGTCCATTTGTAATTCCCCATACTAGGTCATGAAATTTCTAAAATATTATAGTGATTTGCAATTATATGATTTTTTGGAACTTCGATCCTTTAATTCAACAGTAAAGATTTCAGTACAATGCACATTTTAATTAAGCAAGTAGGTTTACTAGCATGCATGAAACGAACAGTAAGACTGTTACCTAATCAAAAGGTAGGAGCAAAATATTTTTCAGAAATTATAAAGACATTGAGCAGCTGAATTACAGGTAGTTTTGCTCATCTTAATTTTTAACATATCAAAAGAGAAGCATTTATTGAGTGGCTGTTTCCATTCAATGAATCATAGAATCATAGAATCATAGAATATCCTGAGCTGCAAGAGACAAGGAATATTTAAAAAGAGCAGTTGTGGTAGTACTTGACTCAATTTCACAACAGATGTGCTAGCTGTGCAGCTATAAAATTAGGAGTTCTATTTGTGGTAAGATACTACATCACAGAAATTTATATAGCAAGTCCTATCACTGTGGCACTGCAAAATATTTGGTTTTCATAACCTAAATTTATTTGCAAAATCAATAAAATAATGTATTTTATTTGCTTGTTTAAATTAAACACTCTAATTTAATTTAGACATATGCTCCTTATGTTCTTTAATATGGAAAATACCTTTTCTTCTAAAGAATATATTTATATACTCTTTTTTAAGAAACAGTATTGAAACTTCTAGATTTGGATTACTAAGTTCAACAGAGCCATGCTATTAACCAAAATATTTCCTTGCTCTGTGCTCCTTGCAAAACCCTGAAATTATTCCTTTTCAATTCCTAAACTTTCTAGAATTTTGTTATTTTATTATTTGATAATTTTACCTTCTCTGATAAACCATTAGCATTGTTGTTCCAAGCCAAATTCATGCCTTAGGAGACCTTTCTCAGAATCAAGGTGCAAGATTTCTAGATTCTTCAAGTTTTCTCTAAGTTCTTGGAGAAGGAAAAAGGAATGATACAGGGAGCACAAGTGCACTTTCTTTCCTTCTTTCCTGCTTTTCTTCTTTCCTTCTTTTCCAGTCTTCTCTCACTTGACAAACACCACATTAGACACTTAGGTATTCTTCTCATCTTACATTTTAAGTATTCTAGGCCCTAAAACAAACAATACATTCCAGGCATTTTTTAGAGTTGCCCAAGCAAGCTGATCTGCGTGGCAAATGGAAAGGTCAGCTTGTTAGGAAGCTTTTATTGTGGCCACATCCAATACAAGGTACACCCAGTTATTTGAAGTCTAGATGTATTGGGAGAATGGAGACATTCATCATGCCTAAACTACTCTCCAAGCTGTAATAAGCCCTCATTTCACTGCACTCATCCCATTTCTATCCAACATACTGAGGGCTGCTCTCTCAAAGATGTGGTATGTTGATTGTTTGCTGAATGAAAAATGTTATCCAGAGTCAGCAAGCATTTCATGAGATTCTATAAGACTTGGACAGACAGATGAAGTAAACAAAATTATGCATTTGTGTTTTCTGCATTTCTGAGATGCATTTGTGTCATTCTCATTGTGAGACTTGTGGAAGTAATGTTCTTTTTTAATAAAGTAAAAAGCTGTCTAGACAAACAGGAGTGTCAAAACAGCACCTGCTTTAAAAGAACAGCTTGAACCCAAACTTAGAAAAGTTTATGTCATAGACATGATGCAGTAGTAGGTTTTGATCTGCTTTGGTTGAGATGTATGTAAATCAAACTTGTAAAAGGCTGTGGTGCTATTTCACTACATAACATTTATGAATTATTTTATTATTAAAATCAGGACAGAAATATTTCAATTTATTTTGTGCTTTTTTATTATGCCCATGTCCACTCTACAATTGTTCACAATCCACTAGCTGTGAAATAAGAAGTTGCCATTTTCGAGTCAATCATCACCATTTTGCCATACTGTTGTCTTCTTTCTCGTGCCAGTTACACACCTTCCAGCCTGGAGCACTGGAGGAGTGCTGCAATGCCTCTGTCTGCACACATTAAAGTGGGAGTAAGAGGACAGTGAGGAGCCAGAGCCAGGAGCCTGTACTGAGCTCCATGTACTGGTCCCCTCTTCTTGAATCAGGGCAGTGATAAAATAGTCAGACCATTTTCCACTTCTGCACTAGGAAAGTCGTGTCAGTGGCCATGTGGATCATACCAGTCATGCCCTTAGTTTATAAAATTATCTTATTTTGGACCACATGTCCTTGCTTCCTGCAAGCTACCTTTGTGAGTCTGTGTAAGTTATTCAAGTTCCCTTGACTTTGACAGGATTTAGGTGCCTACAAGACACCTCCAGGGAGATGTAGGAGGCTTTTTACTTCTCTGACAGATTCTTTCTGTCATCTCTGGGAGTTTGCAGGGATAAGGACATCTAAGACTCTCTATGAAAGCAAAATGAAGACTTTAGCACTACTGCATTAGGTGATGCTGTTTTATGGCAACAGTAGAGAGAGTTCTAGAGAATGCAATTTCATTTGTACATTTCTCAACTAAGATTAAAAAATGGTGAGAGCATTTCTTAGCACCACGAGACTGAGCTTTAGGAGGCAAATAAAAATAGGCAAAGGAGATAAGGGTGCTCTTGTCATACATTTCTGCTAAACACAAGGAGGAGAAAACATTTTTTTTCTTCCACTACTTTTTCCCATGTAGTAAATGCTTGTCAGAATTCACTTCTGCAGGTGATAGATGTTCTCCACAAACACCAGATGTCACAGCTTAGGGAAGCAAACACAGATGATGATGGTGGGTGGGAGAGGAATTGAAGGGTTGAAGAGGGGAACAACAGGAAGAGAGAGAAGGGAAAATATGGTGGGGGTTTTGTTTGTTTTATTTTCCAGGAGGTTACATGGAAACAGAGGCAGCAGCTCAGGAATCTCTGGGATTAGGCAAACTCGGAACACAAGCAGAAAAGGACAGAAGACTAAAGAAAAAGTGAGTACTGTTTTTATGTGACTTTTTGGCTGAAACTTGATTCAAATATCAGGATTTTTATTGTTTTACTCAAATCTGGAATGAGAAGCAAAGACCATGTACTATGGCATTTTAGCAGTGATGTTGCTTTCCAGTGTAAAAGTTTTTAAAGCAGCATATAAAATATAAGGGAAAATATTGTCTGTCAATTGTACAATATTATTTTATTTGTGAAAGAACATAAATTTATGAGAGACATTTTTCCATTTCACATTATCATTAATCCTGTGCTTTTTGCCTTCTGTGCAATTCTTAAAAAATAGACATGCATTTAATGACTCCCTATGTAGATCTTCTTTTTCAAAAGGGTGAAAAACCTTTTTTGTATTATCTAGTGAACAGAGTGTTATTTCTGTTTCTAGATGTCAAAGGCTCCCCATAAACCCTACCAGCTTTACTTTCTTTTTGCCTGAGATCAAATGCAGACAATAAGAAACTCAGCTTTTTGTTTGCATCAATTATATAATAATTTAATGCTGTCTTTCATGTGCCTCCTTGTAAAAACAGCACACTGACTCCTAGCAGCTGCCAGGAGCTATGAAGAACTAATAAAATAAGGCTGCAAACACAAAAGAGACCTCTTGGTAGCATTGAACTCCCAGTGTAATTAGAGGGTGTCAGAGAAAAAAGCTGGTACTTAAAAATGACTTTTCAAATTAATTCTATAAACAAATAGGTTTATTTTTCATCCATAATCATTAACTGTAATGTTATTATTTGGATTCTGAAAGCCTAATTTTTTTAATTTTCTGGGTTTTCAGGTTTGTTTCACTCTTTTAAGATTCCTTTGCTGAGTTTCAAGAGAATTTTGCAATTCTAACTTGAATGTTTGAGCTTCTCTTTAAATTTTTGTGTTGAATATTTTTAATCACTGCATTTCTGTCAAGCACTTGATGAAATATAACTTTAAATGTACACATACATGTAATGTACAATGACAAGCATTCTGTTTCAATCAGCCCCAATTTAGCAATTAAGGATAGAGAAGTAGTCACTGTGCTAGCTGAAAGAGAAGAAACGTTTTAAATTCAATTAAGAAACTCACAATAGCAGTCACAAGGATGTTACAGTTGATGAGTCTTGTCCCTGTATTTCTTATCTATACATTTTTATCACTAATCAGTAATTTTGGAAATATATGGATGTAGATTATGTTACCATGCTTTTCTTTTCTAAATCTTTTTACCTTTACTAAAGGCATCATTGAGGTGATCATTACCATTCATAAAGAATATAATTTAATTTTCAGAAGCCTTTTTTTTTAAGTCCCAATGTACCTTCCAGTTCTGAGGGCTGAATGTATCACAGTATTGAAATCACTTTGAAGGGATAAATGCATTCATTTTTTTTCACTTTCTTATGTGTTAGCTCTTTAAACCAGCACACACAACTGCAAACATGACATGACTACTTCATCTATAGATTGCCTACCAACTTTTGGGTCTGTAAATAATGGGTGTGCAGATAATCTGTTACTAAATTTCTGTCCAATCTCACACAATCCCATGCTTTCTGCTTTTCAAGTCTTTCCTTTTTTTTCTCCTGTGTCTGTCTGTCCTTGGTTCTTTATGGATTAGATATAATCAAAATATCCTCTGCTGGAAGGAAAGGGATCTTTTCTTTGTGACTATGACTATTCTATTAGTCTGAACTGTATATTATATGAAGTATATGTTCTACAACTATTTAATGAAGAAATTTAATTTTCCCATGTTCTTTTTAGGGTTACCTGTGTTCATACTCTCACTTTAGAATCCTCAGAACTGCAGAAAGGTTAACATACATTGCTAAGTTTACATACATATGTATGCATATGTAATATCATTGTAGAGGAACCATAATAAAGGAAAAAAATGTAACCTGTTGGGTTAGAGATATACAGGAGGTTCTACTGAATTATGGATTATGGTAGTCATTAGGGTGCCAAGCTGTCAATAGAGTGTAGGAGAACTAACACCTCCTTGTAAGAAATGCAGTCAGAGAATCACAGAATAGGTCAGGTTAGAAGGGATCACAGTGGGTCATCTGGTCCAGCCTCCCTGCTCAGCAGGGTCATCCCAGAGCACATGGCACAGGGTTGTGTCCAGATAGTTCTTCAATATCAGTCACTCATTTGCATGTCTTACCTTGGAAAATATTAAATTGAGACAGTCCAGAAAGTAATTTAAATAAAAAGTTTGTTGCAGTATGTCACATTTCTTTGTACCAATTTTTAACAATGCCTAATTCCCTCTGGAAGCAGCTTTGCCATACACACAGTAGGTGCAGGATTACTGAACTGTGTAGTGCAAGTGAGGATACCATGCTATGTAACATTAATGGTGGTGGGGATGTGTGGGAGGTCTTTGTAAGACATAATAAGAGAAGTCTGAGAGTCATTTTCTGGCTTGTGATGCAGCAGTAGGAACTATGGCAGTATAATTTAAGTTCAAGTGGTTGATTCCTGTTTTACTGCTAAACAAATCTGCTCTACAAACCCTGCAGGGAGTGAGCACAGTCACTGGAATACAGAGCAGAGAAATTCACCTTGTAAGTATTTCTAACTGACTTGGATTAGGACATAAAAGCCCAAGAGAACCAAACCCACCAGTAGGATAGTTAAAAGGTATGCTAAAGCTGTGAAGTACTACTTTGTATTACATTTCAGGTCTGAGAGAGCTTTACTTATGCTGGCTTTTTCACTCCCTTTAAAAAAAATAAAAACCAAAGCCGAAGCAGACAAAACCAAAAGCAACCTAAAAAAACAAACAAACATCCCATAAATAAAAGCCAATACAAAAAACCTTGAAACAGTGATGCCAGAGCCAATTCTCTTTTCTACAAAACAGGTATAATACCACATACTGAAACTGTGTTTCTTTTGACACATGCAAGTTAGGTGAAATGGCTTTCAGCCCTACTAAGTGCTCAGCAAACATCTGAGTTGAGTCCTGGTTCTGGTGCAGGAAAGCAAGGATTCTTCCCTTGCTGTGAAACAGAGGTCAGATTCATCACTGTGATCAACATATGAGTACTGTGATAGTAGTCATCTGTTGCGTTCTGCAGCTGCAGGATCACATCCAGAGAAGCTGCAGTTACCAGGAGCCAGCATGGGACACCAACGAGACGGGCTTCTGTTCATGAAACCATTTATTCAGCATGGGAACAAACTCAGATCCAGAGACAGAGAGCCCCAAACAGAGGCAGGGTGATGGGTTTTGAGGACCAGACCCAGGTTGGAGTTCAGGGTCAGGGACCACTAGGAACACAGCAAGGGAGAAACCCCAGGGGCTCAAACCCAATCAGAACTCCTGGGCTGCCACCTCACGAGGGGTCTGGGGTGAGGCAACTCGTCCAGGGCTCACAGGGAACATCCTCTGATGCAGAGGATAGAGTTCCCTCTTGCCCATGCCTCGCACTTTAACAATGCTTACCTGAAACTAAATCTTTGCCCCTCTGGGCAGGGGCACCTCACAGTCATCATCTTCAGGAGACTCTGCTATTAGCTTTGATTTAGTTTGGATAGAAGTCATTATAAAATAACAGATTCCTGTTAAAATTATATCCATTGTATCTCTTAACTGAGAAATACTTAAAATGCTAAATTTCTCATTTTGCATTTTTGAATGTATTTAATTTCATCAGTAATTCCACAAAGATGCCCCTTCCCCAGGGATGAAGATGCACAACATTTCAAATTGCGAGGTGCTGCAGCAGCAGGTTCTAATGGTCCATCGGGTGTCCTGGGCACCTGCTGCCTCAAGCAAGGGTGGCATGGAACACTCTGCAGTGTTATAGTGCTTTAGCCCAATTTGTTTGTGTGCAATCAGGTACTAAATAATACATTTCACTCTGAAAAGTGTAATGAGAGAGTATGGTAATTCTGGAGACCAGTTCTCTCTCTGGTGATTACAGTGTCATTAACCTAAATTTCAAGGTTTCCCTGCTTCTTGTTTATAAGATGCTATTTAGATGTAAAAGTTCTTTCAGTTTCAATTGACTGCTTAGATGTCATTAAAATGTAATTAACAGTTTGTCTCAATGATATGCTAGACCTTTATAAACTTCCAACAAGAGTGTCTATTCATCCAAAATTTGGTTATTACAGTAGATTTATTAGGAACAAGTCTTACTCCTAAGGCATCAAAGAGAAATTAAGGAAGCTGTGTAGAATTTTTAAATTATACCAAACATCTCTTAGAAGCTGAAAAGATGAATTTAAGTTGCCTGACTCATCCATAGATGCTTACTCTCAGACATTAAATAAATGACAGTTTTGGTTAATGCTGAAGCTTTTTAGGTCTTACTATTTGTAAACTGAGCACGCAGTTCTAGGAAACAAAATATGGGGGTAAGGGGTATTTAAAGTGTTTAGGGTGTTATTGTTTTGTGAAATTAGGTGATGTTGGGATGTATATGTATTTAATTTTTATTATTTTATTATTTAATGGACTTTTTCTTTCACTTCACTTGTTCTATATAAAATGTGGTGAGGTTTTGTGTATAGAATCTTCTGCTTTTTGCCAGGAATTTCAGAGCCTGTTTGCCTAAAGAGTAACTTGTTCAAGAAAACTCAGGGTTTAGGATTAGAATTATTAATGACACAGATACCGTCTGTCACAGTTACATTCATTTGAACCCCCCAATGATTTAAATAGTTTACACTCCTCTAAACCATACCTTTGAATTAAGATAAACTCTCCAGAAGGCACCCATCAGAAAATGAAGAACAGAGCTTTTCTCTTAGTATTTTTTTCCTAGTGATTAACCAGTCTCCCTCTGGAAAACAGAAAAATGGAAAATTTCCACTTCTGAATTTTGTAGTTGACTCCAGCTACCATTCTCTGTGACTGTGTGTGCACTATCTCATATGTTCATGACATCATCCTTGGTGGGTGTTGTGCAAACTGTGCACAATGACTTGGCCTTGGCATTCACACAGGGTTGTCATGATAGCCCAAGCCACAGCCCAGCATGGGAAG